TTGTTCTTCAATTCTTCTTTCATGGCTGTGGTGAAGTCTTTGGTAGCCTGCCTTTGGGCTTTCTTGCACTCCTCGACAGATGTTGGTAGATCGTATCCCACTGAGTCAAGTTTGTTTCTGATGTTCTCAATTTGATCTGAAAGATCTATGTTGGTTGTCATATGGCTGTAGACTGTGTTGAGCAGATCTTTGATGGTTCTCAGCCTGACAAGTTCTGGGGAGTACGGTGCATCCCGGTATTTAGGCAGGCGCTTCCCAGCATAGATGCATGCCGTGAGGAGGCGATCGTAGAGTTGCTCTGCCAGAGTATGGTTTGGTATATTGTCACGCATGTGTTGTTGGAGGGTCTTTATCTGTTCAAACCAGTTGTGGTCCTCTAAATGTTGGTGTTTGTTGTCGAAATAAGGCCCAATTTGGTGAGCTTTTGTGCTGATGATGTCCCTTGCTTGTTTTCTAACCAACACCTGTGGATCATCCCCGAAAAACAAGTCTGTGTCAACATCGATGTAAACTCCTCTGTGATCACTAATCACATGAGCGTGGAAAGCTTCATAACCACATCGAACAATTGTTGGGAGCAGTTCCGGATCGATCAAGATGTAGTCCAGAATGTTCTTTCCACGGTTGTAAGTTGAGAAGTTTGCTGCTCCGTGTGTTGTCAGAATGGGATCAAGGAAGGGCCGAGCTGGGGAGGTCTGGTGGTCTGGTGTTGGCAGCAGCTTCAAGAGGATGGCGCACGGGGTCGTGAGTGACTGCATTAGTGACATCCGCAACAGTTTCGGTAGTATCTGAGAACCATGGGGGAGAAGGGTGCCAGCCCATGGGAAATGTCACCGGAAATGCAAGCAGCTGTTCTTCATTGGTAAAGCGGGGAAGAGCAACTCCCAAGTGCCCTGTTATTTGTCGGGGTGGATTTTCATGTCCCCGCAACGTGGATAATTTTGTGCAAAGAGAGTTAATACTCGAGGCATTAAATAAGTTCCAATTGTCTTGCTTGCTCCAACAGTTAATTTTCCTCGATCACCATTTTTTAAATCAATTAAAGCTATACAACTTTCTTCACATAATGCTAAAATTCTTTCAGAATATTGTAAAAAAACTTTTCCATTTTCAGTTAATGAGATTTTATTCTTTTCTCGATTTATTAATAATATATTAAGATTTTTTTCTAATTTTTTGATTTGTTTACTTATTGAAGGTTGTGAAAGGTGGAGAACTTGAGCTGCTTTTGTAAAATTTTTTTCAGTAGCAACAGCTTTTAAAATTCGTAATTGTTGCAACGTAAAAGGAAGCATAGTTTTTTATTTATAGTTTTTATCTTATATTAAAAGAAATCTATTAGAAAATTTATTATACGGATGAAGAGACTCGAACTCTCACGACCAAAGTCACTTGAACCTAAACCCAGCGCGTCTACAAATTCCGCCACACCCGTTATTTGATTTTAAGAATTTTCTCTGGAACAAATAAATCTTTAAAAAATTTTTAAAGATTTATTCATCTTCATCTTCAACATAGACACTATATACAAAACTTGTAGGTTTTCCTCGTCACATTGATTTTGCTAAAGATAAGGATTTTTGAGCTGCTTGATAACTTTTTCTTTTCCAATTTGCTTTACGAGCATTTTTTTTAGCTGTTGACGTTCGTTTCTTAGGTACAGCCATTATAATTAAATTTTTTAAGATGATTTTGTAATTATAATACAATAAATTAATTGAAAAGTCAATTATTTATTTGGCATATAATTAGCTTTTTTATTTTTAATCCCTTTGCTAATTTTATCATTTCTTTCAAAAGTCTTCAAAGATTAAATCATTTCAAAATTATTTGTTCGAGTATTATTGAAACTCGAAAAATTTGAAAAATTTTTTATTATAATTTAAAAGTAATATAATTTACTAATTTGATCTAATGGGGAACTTGCTCTTGCATAATTCTTTTTATACATACGACCAGCTAAATATACTAAACGACCAGCTTGAAATCCTAAATTCATAGCAGAAGCCATTTGTGCTGGATTTTTTGATTTAGCAACTGCTGTATTAAGAAGGACACCATCTGCTCCTAATTCCATAGCGAGCTTAGCTTCACTTGGTGTTCCAATTTCTGCATCAACAATTACAGGAATATTTGAATTCTCAATAATAATTTTAATATTTGTTAAATTATTAATACCTTGTCCTGAACCAATCGGTGATCCTAATAGCATTACAGTAGCACAACCTAAATCTTCTAAATTTAAAGCTAAGATTGGATCGGCAATTATATAAGGAAGAACTGTGAAAACTTTCTTAACAAGAAATTCTGCAGCTTTTAAGGTTCCAAGTGAATCCGGTAAAAGATATTTAGGATCAGAAATTACTTCTAATTTCACAAAAAAATTATCTTATTGACCTAATTGACAAGCTAACTAATGGCCTAAGAATGCCATTCGTATAGCTTCTTAAGCGGTTTGAGATCCCGCTGTATTTTGTAATAACCATAAGTTTTCCCAATTTAAAATTCCTAAAAAACTTGTTGTATCGTCTTTTAAATTAGTAGGTAATCTTCGAATAGCAACTGTAACAATCTCACATTGACTACTTTCAATACTATGAATTGCATCATTAGTTGTATTGTATTTACCTGTTCCTAGCATTAACAGAGAATTAAAAAATTTGTTTCCAATTTTTAATTTATTTCAAAAGTTTCTTTCATTTTTTAATAATTTTTTTTAATACTCCCCAGTTAGGACTTGAACCTACGACCAATCGGTTAACAGACGATTGCTCTACCACTGAGCTACTTAGGATATATTAATATAGTACCATAGGTTTTCTATAATTACAAATTATTTTATTTTAATTCTTTGTCAATTAATTTTTGAAAAAAAAGTCGGTTCTTTTTTGGTATAAGTAGCAAACTTTACTTCGACACGAATAAATTTTTGTTTCTGTGCTTCCAAAGACGAGTTATTTTCTTGAGATTGGCTACTAACTCTGGCATAAGCGTATATGCAATTTTTTGGAATTTTTTCAAACATAAGTTTGAAAATTGTAATCTGATAAATTGCCAAATAAAAAATTTGCAATTTAACTAGAGTTGATTTTACAGAAACGACTTTCGACAAATGCTATTTCGAAAAAGTTTAGAAAGGATCTTTAGTAAAAGGGTGGTTTGAATCATGTGACTTCCTTGACACAAATTTCAAAGGTTTTGAGGAAATGTCGTTAATTCAGACATCTGTGGTGGATTCAAAATTTTCCAAGTTCAAAAAATGGATTGAGTTTAAAGGAAAGTTCTTTCTTATTGATATATTTCACTCTGGAAACGGAATAGATTAAATGTTTATAGAATAAAATTTTTCAATAAAAATTAGTAATTTTATAAAACGACTAATTTTTTATTATTTTCTTTTAAAAATTTGACATATTATCTAAAATTAATTTCTTTCCATTCTCGAGCATTTTAGGAGCCTCTCAGAAGACATTCTAGTGTACCACCCATCCATACAAATATTTTATTAATTATCACACCTACAACTTTTCATCTGGGGTTAACTCTAAATGAACCAACAATTATTGTTCGTTAATACTTATTATAGCCGATTTAATAATGTATTAATTAAAGAATAAAAGTTAATACAATATAAAAAAGATTTGTTAAATATCAAGAAAATCGGTATTATTACTAAATAAATTGAAAAGATTTAAAGCACCGAGTGGAATTGGTTGACCAAATAAAGCAAAGTCTATTGGTATAAAAGCTAAATTCATTGAGTCTTCTACACACTCAAAACAGAACGCAGCCATGCTGTGGACGCTTTTGGAAATATTTACTAATGCATAAAAATTAGTAAATACAACGACAGCATGCGAAAGAATATACGCACCTGCGTTAATAAAATGGAATTTTTTAAAAAAGATAATATATACAGAAATACTCGAATAACAGGTTCCCAAGATAATATTGTAGGTGTGGCTTTTGATGCTAAAGACAGGAGTGACAATAATATTGAAGTACTAGAATAGGATTTTCCTAACATTGAGAAAAGCAGAATACGAACTTCAAAAGAAGAAGTTTTAGAACAAGTAGTTTCCGTATTGAAGTCGGTCAATCAATCTCTTGGAGCAAATTATAAATTATCTAAAAATTATTTTTCACCTTTTGATAGCGGAGCAAATTCAGTTTACAATCTATTAATCTGTAAGTTGATTAGACATTCTCACATTGGAAATGAATTCAAAAAAGTATAGAATTTCCTATCTTTTATGGTTTCAAAAAAATTTGAAACCATAAGGGATCAATTGAAGTATAGTAAATTTACTCTAGAATAATTTTTATAAATTCTAATATTAATGTTTGCCTAAAATTTTATTAAAATTTAATCTATTATAAAATTCTTGTTTTCTAACAAGATATTATTGATTATTTTTATTAAATACTAAAAATCTAAAAACATTCGAATCCATTTTTATAATCTTCGAAAAGTTATTGATATATTTTGGCATACTTTAAAAGTTTAACTGAATATATTTTCCTTTTGATCGATTACTTATTGGATAGGCTAAATAATGCTTACCACGAGAAATCACTGATATAGCACATACATTAAATTTTCTTTAACTTTTTGCATAATTAAATATCCAAGTCTTTAATTCACTGTCGTTAAATTCTTCGGTTAGAAGAATCATTATTTCATATTTTCTTAATAATGACTTAATATTTTAATTTTATCTGAATTAAAATTATATTACTTTTAAATAGAAATTAGTGTCAATTCTAAATTTAGTTTTTTAGAAATAATAATTTCAAAGTTTAATCAAGAAAGTAGACAAAATTGAATAATTTTTTAGTAAAATTATAGAGTAGAAGATAATTTTACTAAAAAATTTTATTGGAGAAATCGCATGGATTGGAATGAAATTCAAAATTTTTCATCAAATATAGTTTTTGGAATCTTGCTGTTTGCAATGATAACTTATTGGGTTAATTTATCATTGTTTCGAAATTCAGACTTCGTGTCAAAGATTGGAAAATTTAGTACTTTAATTGTTAATTTCTTATTATTTTTTATTCTTTGTTCGCGTTAGATTGTAGCAGGTTATTTTCCATTAAGTAATCTATATGAATCATATTATTTTTAACTTGGACCTTATTAACAAATTATTTATTTATTGAAACAAAAACAAAAATTAAATTAATTGGATCGATTTTGATTCCTGTTGCCTTATTGATAAACTGGTTTGCAAATCTAACTCTATCTCCTGAAATGCAAAAATCAAGCCCATTAGTTACTGCTTTACAATCAAATTGGTTAATGCTACATGTTATTATGATGTTATTAAGCTATGCTACTTTAATCATGGGATCATTATTATGTATTCTTATTTTTAGTTATTGCAAAAAACAAAGATGTAGATTTAAAGATTATCGATGATTCATCATTACCACTTTATAATAGTATGTTAGACTATTATGAAGCAAAATTAGTATCTCCATCAAATGAGATAGCAGAACTTGGAAAATTAAAACTTTTACAGAGTATTGATAATGGGAGTTATCGAATTATTGGATTAGGATTTCCATTTTTAACAATTGGAATTAATTCTGGTGGAGTTTGGGCAAATGAAGCTTGGGGTTCTTATTGGAGTGGGGATCCAAAAGAAACTTGGGCTTTAATCACTTGGCTAGTATTTGCGACTTATTTACATGATCGAATTACAAAAGGATGGAAAGGTAATAAAACAGCTATTTTAGGTGGTTTATGATTCTTCGTTATTTGGATCTGTTATTTAGGTGTTAATTTCTTAGGAAAAAGTTTACATAGTTATGGATTGTTCTCATAATTAAATTTCACTTTCAAAATTAAGATCTGTCAAAAATTTATAATTGTGAATTAAATAACAGAAATTTGTTATTTAATTCACATCTTTGATTTCTAATTTAATATGCTAATCCTAAAATTCTAGTTGTTTCTGCACCTAAATATACACGTACACATAAGAAATCAGTTGGACAAGCAGTTTCACATCTTTTACAACCTACACAAACTTCTACACGTGGTGAAGAAGCAATTTGAACAGCTTTACATCCGTCCCATGGAACCATTTCTAAAACATCCGTAGGACATGCTCTTACACATTGTGTACATCCAATACATGTGTCGTAAATTTTAACTGTATGAGACATAATTTTTTATAAATTTATTATTTATTATCTTAATTTTCCTTTTGTTTCAAACAAAAGGAAATAAGTCTAATTCTTAACTTTTTCAAATTTTGAATCTTAACGTCCTAAACGTTGGATTTGTTGGATTGCTAAGCGACCAATGTTAAATAAAGCCATGAAGCTGCAATTAATAATGTTGCAGCAATTACTACTAAACGAGTATCCATAATTGATAGTACTTTTGAAATATGTTAATTAAATAAAGAAAATAATATTTATATAGAATTATATTATTGTATTTTCATATTATATATGAAATTTCAAATATTTCTTAAGAATCTCTTACAAATAGAATTCAAAAATTTATATTTACATTCAATTAATCGATGAAAATCCATTTTATATAAATAGAATAAATTTATAAGTAAAAAGATAGTTTATTTTGTTATTGACTTACGAATAAATGATACAATTAAATATTATCAATGTCAAAGAAACGGAATACAATTAATTAATTAATTCCAGACTTATTTTATATTTCGAAATCTTCTGATTTTATTTCAGTAATTCGCCCAAACACCCGCGACGCCGGCCCACCCCGGTGTTGGTTAAAACCCATTTTGGACGTGAAGGCCCGTTCGACTTTTCTTTGGGCTTTGTCTAGTTCATCGAAGGTAAAATAGGCCATTGGAAGGGGATAGGAGACACTGGGCCGGTAGATGGTCCAATATAGCAGGTGAGCTTCCTTCGGAGAAAGGTGGCTCGTTTTGACAATGCGGCAAAATTCCTTGCACTTTTTGGCAGTGATATCTAACTGGGTCTTTTTGTCAGCCGGACATTCGTAGCATCCCAGATACCTTGTGGCTTTGGTGTTGGCCCATTGCTTGATTGTGGTGTCCATCATCGTCGGAGTCAGCATCATTTTCGTGGAGTTGGAGGTCTGGTAGATCAGGTTTGTCAACAAGAATCGGGTTTGCCGTCATTTTCAAAGATGAATTCCATGGCATGAAAGCCACACTTGGTAAGTTCTAATTTCTGATTGCAGGTGAGAAGGAGGTTGTTCCAGAGCTGACTATCAGCTTGTGCCTGTGCTATCAGAGTTTCCATTGGTGGTTGTGGGTCTTGTCCAAACTGGTTGTGGAGTTCCGGGTGTCGTCTACGAAGCCGACGATCTTGATGTTGTTGTTGTTAGAAGCTTGTCCGGGCTCACGTATGTTGCCCCTTGTGCTTTGTTTTCGTAGATGTCGAAAAGGGTACTGCAAATAAACAGCCAGTATGTGGGTGAGTTTCACTCCCTTGACCTGTGCCAAACCAAGGGTAAGCCTGACTGTGTTGGACGAATTCTTCTGAGACACCAAGCTGCGTTTTCAAATGATACCGAGCTTCTGCTAACGTCTTCCCTTGTACCACACACACCTTGCGGTGCATACCATATTTTCGACTTGCAACATTGGCCAGAAAACAGGGAATACGGTCATAGCAAGAACTGGCGTCATTGTCGAAGTGGAGTAAGTTACATCTTGTCAATCGAGTCAATTCATATTCCAACTCGCGATAAACACTGCATCCAGAGCTTCCTTTCCAGCTGGGATCCGAACTGGTGTTCGTTGACGTATCCGTTGTTGCAAGCATGGTGAAGAACCCCGCCATTTAACACTCAAGAGCAGATTGTAATCGCTTCCATTAAATGGATGACTCGCAGCCGATGGATTTTTGGGCAGCCGGGGTTCTTCTCGAGCATGGCATTGACGATGGTTTTCCAAGAATCGAAACTGAAACCAAATTGGAGACAATAGTTGAGAAGAGCAAGGTGACCATTGAGGATGGAGTCCCTCTTATCCTTCAATGCATCAGCCTCAGGTGTGTTGTCTTCGTATGAATGTTTTGCTGTGTATGCTTTGAGATGCCCTAGGTGATGTTGCTGCCTGGGGATGTGCTCGTCCTCTCATTCCAGACTTTGATTTTGCCCAGATAATCTTCCTTGCTGATTGTGGGGGAAATGAAATCCTTGTCCGAAACATATTGCAGAGCTTCCAGGAATATCTTGGTAAGTTCGTCAAGATCGTCGGTGGGAAGGTACCATTAAGAATTTGATCAGCTCTCTGACATGTCCCAGTGAATTCCATGCTGAAGTCAGTTGGAGGATTCGTCAGATTCAATTTTTTGATTGTCCAAAGTGTTGTCGGTTGCGCTCTTGTAAAAGTGCCTCAATTTCTTCTGGACATCCACTTGCCTCCAGTGTTGACACTCCTTGGGATTTTCGTTGGGGTTTTCGGGGACTAGGAGATGCTTGAGGCCACCAGACGGGATCTTGTTCCGGATGATTCGAAGCTTGTCGAATATTGTGTTGGAATCCTCTGCTCTCTGGATGTGTTTTAGAGCTTTGACTAACTTTTTGTCTCCCTTTTCACGTGCATCCTTGATCAGCTGTTTTAGGTGTGCTTTCCGAAGAGGCTTGTTCTTCAATTCTTCTTTCATGGCTGTGGTGAAGTCTTTGGTAGCCTGCCTTTGGGCTTTCTTGCACTCCTCGACAGATGTTGGTAGATCGTATCCCACTGAGTCAAGTTTGTTTTTGATGTTCTCAATTTGATCTGAAAGATCTATGTTGGTTGTCATATGGCTGTAGACTGTGTTGAGCAGATCTTTGATGGTTCTCAGCTGACAAGTTCTGGGGAGTACGGTGCATCCCGGTATTTAGGCAGGCGCTTCCCAGCATAGATGCATGCCGTGAGGAGGCGATCGTAGAGTTGCTCGGCCAGAGTATGGTTTGGTATATTGTCACGCATGTGTTGTTGGAGGGTCTTTATCTGTTCAAACCAGTTGTGGTCCTCTAAATGTTGGTGTTTGTTGTCGAAATAAGGCCCAATTTGGTGAGCTTTTGTGCTGATGATGTCCCTTGCTTGTTTCTAACCAACACCTGTGGATCATCCCCGAAAAACAAGTCTGTGTCAACATCGATGTAAACTCCTCTGTGATCACTAATCACATGAGCGTGGAAAGCTTCATAACCGCATCGTAAAATTGTTGGGAGCAGTTCCGGATCGATCAAGATGTAGTCCAGAATGTTCTTTCCACGGTTGTAAGTTGAGAAGTTTGCTGCTCCGTGTGTTGTCAGAATGGATCAATGAGATTGCACTCGGAGCATAGATGATCCAAGCCACCCTCTTCCTCTCCTAGGTCCGTGTTGAAGTCCCCTGCTACCATTACCAGATGCCCTTTTGACTGAAGATCTTGGACGAAGCTAACCAAATCATTTGCGTGATGTTTGCGTAGATTGTGGGGTTCTTGTCTTCCTTCCTTGGTGTACAGGCCGAAGAGTTGGGTTCAAGGAAGGGCCGAGCTGGGGAGGTCTGGTGGTCTGGTGTTGGCAGCAGCTTCAAGAGGATGGCGCACGGGGTCGTGAGTGACTGCATTAGTGACATCCGCAACAGTTTCGGTAGTATCTGAGAACCATGGGGGAGAAGGGTGCCAGCCCATGGGAAATGTCACCGGAAATGCAAGCAGCTGTTCTTCATTGGTAAAGCGGGGAAGAGCAACTCCCAAGTGCCCTGTTATTTGTCGGGGTGGATTTTCATGTCCCCGCAAC